ACATATTTAACGGCTTTTATTTATATACATGAGAAAAATGACCCCCACGCTAAAGTATTAATATTCCCTGCTACAGTGGGAGTGTAGACAGATCTTTCTGGTCCCACATCAGAGTCTTTCTCACACCATGTGAACAGTCTTTTGCCATCCATGGTTTCACGAGTTGACAAGTCTATGTATACACCTGTCTCTATCCCCACCATTGGTTCCAGTGACTGCTCTGGTCCATTACCACCAGCCCCAAAGTGCAGAACGATTATTTGGTCACGCCCTTAGTCAGTGGAGTCTCCTTCTTCCGACAAAGATCTGCCCAATTGACCCAGAGCAGGTTCCATGAAGGTCGATAGACCTCTTTCTACTAAATAAAAGCGTCGTGGTCGCCCGGTTCTCCTCTACCTAAATAAATATGACCACGTTAATACAGTGGAACTGTTGAGGTTTTAGTTCTAATTTGGGTGACATTAAGGCCTAGACCAATTCCTATCGTCCTGTGTGTCACTTCTTACTGGAAAGATTCCTGAAACCTGCTGATACTGTCACCTTTCGGCAGTTTTTTTTATACCGGAATGACAGGTTTTGTGATGGATGAGTCCATGGAGGTGTGGAACAGCTGTTTGACCAGCACATACCCACCTTGTCTGTTCCACTTGATACACCTTCGGAGGCTGTAGCCATCCATATCTCCATGGGTCGTACCATCACTATTTGTTCTACTTACCTATCTCAAGGAGAGACTTTCGATCAATCAGAACAGTAGAACAGTTGCTGTCTCTCTTTTCGATCTTGGGAGATTTTAATCCTCTTTAGGGTGGTGCAGATATTGATTGGAGGGGTCGTTCTGTGGAGCATATGCTCTTGGATCACAACCTTTCTCTCTTTAATACTGGTTCATTTGCCTATTTTCATGCACCTAGTCGATCTTTTACTACTATTGATCAATTCATCTATTCCCCTTCACTTTTTTTCTGATTTTTCTTGGACATTCGACAGTGACCACGGGGGCAGTGATCATTTTTCCATTGTTTTGATGCTACCCGACCCGAATACCACAGTGGAAGTTGGAGCAAGCAGACTGGCCCTCCTTCACCACTCTCTCAGAACTACACTGTACTGTCATTAGTCTTCCATCTATTAATGACTGCATGAAAGCAGTAACTGATTGTATAGTTCAAACAGCTATTTTTTCTATCCCCAAAACTTCAGCATATTTTCCACTGTATCCTCGTCCATGGTGGTTTCCTGCCTGCCAGCAGGCACAGAAGACTCAGAAACAGACCTTTCACAGGTATCCCACTCTTTCCAACAACATTGCTTTCCAGCAAACCTGTGCCCATGCTCGACAGGTCAGACATCACAGCCAGAAGGAATCTTGGATTAAGTTAACCATAGCATCTCTTCTACCATCAATTCCAAAATCGTCTGGGATGGTCAAAGGGAAGTATGCTTCCCATCTTTTTTCCATCTTGCTCTCCAATGACCAGGAAGTTGCTGATGTATAGAGTATTGCCGATACTCTCAGAGAGCTTTGCTTATCTTTTCAGCACTTCTGTCTCTTCTCCCACCTTTTTGTTAAGGGCAGAGAGATTGCCCCTTTCCTTTCGGGCTGATCCGTCTCTATGATTACAATTGCCCATTTACACTGGTGGAACTTAAGCTTGCTCTTCGTTGGTCAGGCAGTACATCAATTTGGACCGAATGACGTTCACTATAAGATGCTGTGCCATCTCTCTTCTACCTCTCTTGCTCTTCTTTTGGTTGTTTTTAACCAGATGCTTGGGGCAGGGCTATTGTTCTTCCTGTCTCAGAGCCCAGGAAGGATCACAAGATTCCTTCTAGTTATCGTCCAATTGATTTGACTAGCTGTCTCTGTAAGGTTTGGAGAGGATGGTTATTGCATGTCTTGTGTGGTTCCTTGAATCAAACAACCTCCTCTCGCCCGCCCTATGTGGTTTTTGTGGAAACGTTCGACTGTGGACTACCTGATTTGTCTCTTTCAGGAAAGCCTTCCTCAAGAGAAATCATCTTGTTTCGGTCTTCTTTGATCTTAAGAAGACTTATGACACCACATGGAAGTTTGGCAATTTGTGGGAATTCCACAACTCCATATTTAGCAACATACAAGTTTCGTAAAATAATATAAGGTCACTCTTCTGTTAATACTATTGCTTTATTACTTTTATTCATTTATTTTTGATGAAATTGGATTTTTTGATAAATAGTTGGATGAACCATCAAACATATAATATTCCTTTGATGTTTTGTCTGGTTTTTCTATGACATCCATATTTCTGTCATAGTCGGTATTATAAATATTCTTTCCTTTCTGTCTGTCTGTCTCTTTCTTTCCTTTGATCACATAAGAATATTAAATGGACACCACGTGACTATACTAAACCCTTTCTTATGCTTACCGCTGGTGACTGATTGGGCCTGACGTGGCACAAAGATCGATTACACTTATGTTAGAACCGGCGTTCTTTAACGCCTTGTTCCTTGTTGCAGCCATGTTTCAGACAGTCATTATTGTCGTTATTTGAAAATCCACTCAATATCGGTATCAGCAGCGGATAGTTTTAACGAAGTCCTGTTTTCTAGAATAATGAATTAATCCGAGTATAAAACTTTATTTTATTTTTTACAAATACAATATCCAGAAATTTTGTTATTTAAGAATACTACAAGTAAAGAAAAAGGAAGTAAATGTAGGGATGGCTAATATCAGTCTTTCAAAAAGAATAGCCCCCCA